ATATTATGTTAGTCGGGTGATGCAGGGAGCAGAGCTGAGATACTCGGAAATCGAGAAGTGTGCATTGGCGGTGGTCATGACAGTCCGAAAGCTGAGGCCATACTTCCTGAACCACAAAGTCAGGGTGCGCACAAACATGCCGTTGGAACAGACTTTAGGTCGACCAGCAGTGTCTGGCCGACTAGTAAAGTGGGCGGTCGAGCTGAGCGAGTACTCTATAGTATATGAACCAAGGAGCGTGATCAAAGCGCAAGTTTTGGCCAATTTCATACAGGAAGGTACGAAAGAGGAGGAAGATGACGGAGGAATGAGGCAGTTGTTCGCGGACGGCTCGGTGTCGAGGAGCCCAGAAGGCCTTCGAGGAGCTGCGAGAAATGTTGGCTAACTTACCCTTACTGGCCAAACCAATTCATGGAGAGGAGCTTGTGCTCTACATCTCGGTGGGCGAGAGCGCAGTAAGCTCGGTGTTATTCCCTAAAATCATGATATCTGATAATGGAACTCAATTCAATGGTAAGCGGATAAGAGCGTGGTGCGAGGAAATGAGTATCGAGCAGCACTTCGCTTCTGTCGCACATCCACAGGCCAACGGACAGGTAGAGGTGACCAACAGGATCATCCTAAACGGACTAAAAACAAGGCTGGAGAAAGCTTCAGGGGCGTGGGTCGACGAGCTAACATCTGTGCTCTGGGCGTATAGGAAGCTCGAAATTTCAGTGGACGGAGGAAGCCCAGAAGGCCTTCGAGGAGCTGCGAGAAATGTTGGCTAACTTACCCTTACTGGCCAAACCAATTCATGGAGAGGAGCTTGTGCTCTACATCTCGGTGGGCGAGAGCGCAGTAAGCTCGGTGTTATTCCCTAAAATCCTGATTGTGGCAATCGACTACTTTACCACCGCTGCGCAGATGGGTCGACGAGCTAACATCTGTGCTCTGGGCGTATAGGACCACTCCAAGGTCGACCACCGGAGAAACGCCCTTTAGCCTGGTATATGGGATGGAGGCACTTCTACCAGTTGAGTTAGAACTGCAGTCTCAACGATCGAGCACTTATAATCAAGGGCAAAACGAGGAACTCATGCTGACCGCCCTAGACACTATCGAAGAACTCAGAGAACAAGCCTCGACCAGGGTTGAGGCATACAAGCAAAGGATGAGGGCAGCACATGACCGAAAAGTGAAGATCCGCCGATTCCAAGTAGGAGACCTGGTGTGGAAGAGAGTGGATGTGCTCAAGCACGTGGGAAAGTTAGAACCCAATTGGGAAGGGCCGTACTTGGTCGAAAAGGTACATGCAGGAGGAGCATACTCTCTGAAGGACGCTGAAGGCAGGTCGCTGGCTAGATCGTGGAATGTATCTAATCAAGGTTTTAAATAGCGGGCTATAACGTTTATGGCACTGTAGCTATAGCAGAGCTATAGCGGAGATTTAGCGGCTAAATTGCACATGAATACAAATAGCGGCACGCTGCCAAAAAAAAGCTATTTCTCAAATAGCGGCAACTTTAGCGAGCTATTTATTTCCTTGTATCTAATCTTAAAAAATACAATGTGTAAACTCTTCTCTGTATTCGAGCAGTTCAATCATTGTAAGCCTCTTACGGGAAGTTATCAAAATGATCGATTTCTATAAGAAGATGTCTCTACCAGCGTCATTAACAT